GCCAAGCTTCCGCACTGCGCGGGCATCTCCCGCAGCACAGTGCGACCCGCAGCGTCCGCAACAGTAAACACTGTTGCCCATGAACACGTCGCGCCCAGGCGCGGCGCAGGCGCCCCCGACCTCTTCGGCCAGGGCAGGTGGCAACACGGCTGCGGGGGTCGAGGGCTGCGAGCCCCCTTCGAGCGCCGGGGCCGCGCCCAGGGCCATGCCGGCCCTCTGGTCGCTGCAGAGAACCCAGGGCTGAAGGACTGAGGCCCGAAGGAAACGCTCGGAACAACGGCCGCAAGAAGAGGGCCCAACCCTCTTCTGCAGGGGGCTCGACAAGCGCGGCCTCCGCGCGGACCCCCTCGAACCGCGGGGCGAATTCCACCGCCGCGGAAGGGGGGCGAAGCCGCGAAGGGAAGCCACATCAGAATCCAACGACTGAGGGAACCACGGCCCATGCGACACCCAGGCCCTCGCCCCGCCGACATTGAAGCGCCGCGCCTCTTGCAGAAAAGTGCGCGCTCTCCAGGCCGCGCGTCGCGGCCGCCCCCGGGCCCACGAGGCCCGCCTGGGGCGCGCTGTGCCCATCGCAGCTCCAAGGGGCCCCTGAGCTCTGGGCAATGTCTTCAAGAGGAGGAGGGGGGGGGGGGGGGGGGCTGAGCAGCAGCGGCAGGGGCCGCGCCCGCGAGGGCCGCGCCCTCGACGCCCTCGAACGGACACGCCCCCTCCTGAATACAGGCCACCTCGATGGCCCCCCAGAGTTCGGGGTCGATCTCCACTGTGGCGTCCGAAGCCCCAGCGACCCCCTCAGAGTCAACGGACGCAGAGCCCCCGACACACATGCTGGGCCATCGCATGCCATCTCGTCGCAACCACTGCAAGGCCCCCCAAGCCCTGAACGAAAAGCACCTGCTGGGGGGGAACGTGCCACAAGCGAGCCCCAAGCGTTGCGTAGTGGCCCGCAGCCCAGTTGCCGCGAATCGCCCACGCTTCGTGGTCACTGGTCGCATTCTGCAGTCCAGCGCGAGCTTTGACCTTCAAAGCGCTCGCTCTTGGACCTTTCCCACTCCGCCAGCCGTGCCAACAGTGCTTCCTGGCATGCAGCTCTGCAAGGGCAGCGCCCAGATCCAGGGCGCAACCAGTAGACGCAGAGCAACCAGAGTAAACGTGCAAGGGGTTTTCTTCCATCCATTCTGAATGATCGGCAAGAACAGAAAACATGCCATGTGTTCGTAGTCTCTCGCTTGCTGGAGAGGCGCTGCATGCCGCGGCGCAATCTTATAGCAGGCTCCGATAACAGTGCCTGCTCTGTCCATCTGCGCGATCGAGAATCCAACCCTGCGCATTCCGGAGGGCCCAACGCAAACTTTCGTCCATCTCCCTGCATAAGGTGCGATCCAGCAGCCGCCTCCCGCCAGATATTCGGCCCTGCGCGGGCCACTCGCGTGCCCCTCGCTGCGGATGAGGGTGAAGGCGGCGGCCGAAAGCTCGCGGCCCTCGACTGCACCGCTGGTCGCTTCGTCCTCGGACACACCGCGCGAGTCACCGCTGCCCTCCGACTCGGAAACCTCGTCGGGCTCAGCGCCAGACGGGTCGTGCTCGTCGAGCGGGTGGCTGGCCCCATCCACGCCCTCCACGCTCTTGCCCGAGTCGTGCTCGCCGAGCCAGGCGCTGGCTACGAGCGCCCTCGCCCGCCGCCGGGCAGCGCCGTCGGCCCCCTCTCCACCGCGGAACAGGCCGAGGGATGAGCAATAATATGCCCCGCGACGGCCTCGGCGCGCTTCGAAGGAACGGCTGCGGCGGAGCAAGCCGTGCTCGCGTCGGCCTCGCCAGCCGCGAAGGATCTCCAACCGCTCTCCTGGTCATCATCTTTGGCCTCTCCGCCTGGCGGCCGCGGGGCCCCCGCGCCTGCGGCGCCGCGCTCGCTCTCCAGAGCGTCGCCAGCAGCGGCGTCGCGGCCCGGCGGCGGCAGCGTCGTGGCGCTGGCGGCGCCGCCCGCGCTCGCGAACGCGCCCCCTGGTGCGAAGGCCACGGGTCCAAAGGTGCGGCGGAGGCATGGCCAGCCCTGCTTCTCCTCGCGCTCCGCGGCCGCTACGCCGAGCACCTCGACGCCCGGCAGCGCGTCGACGCAGGCGGCGGGGGGAACGCGGGGCCGAGCGCTGGGCCTCAGCGGCGGCCACCGGCGGGGCAAGGCCACCGCGGGCTCGGCCTTGCAGATGGAGACGACGCACTCGACCGCCGCCTGCTGCTGGGTCTCCAGGCGAGGCCCGCGCTCCGCGAGGCGCCACTCCTTCAGCGGAGCGTCGATGGCTGGGCACCGCTCGGCACGCCAAGCGACGTCGCGCATCCGCTTCGGCTCACGAGGCTCGACGCGCCCACGGACGCGCGCCGCTGGGGCGGGCCTGGCGATGGCCTCTCGCCTGCTGGCCTTGTCGAAAGCGACGGCTGGTCAACCATGCGCGCGTGCACATGCGCGTGCGCGTGTGCGTGCGGCTGCGCGGGTGTTCGCGTGTGCTCGCGCGCGTGCGCGCAAGGCGTGCGCGTGGCGGGCGGGGCGGAGGGGCGTGCGGCGAGCGTGCCACGTATGTGCTGGCTGGGCAGGTGGGGTGGGCAGGCGTGCGGTATGTGCGCGTGCGTTGTGCGCGCTGTCCTTTGCATATTTTAGAATGCATGACTGCGCGGCGCACCGCTACGAAATCTGTAACAAAAATGGCGCGGAGGACCAGGATGGTAATGATGACGGTTGTGGTGACGATACTGACCATGATTGTGATGATGGTGATGATGATGATGACGATGGTGAAATGGTGATGGTGCTTATGATGGCGATGGAGATGGCGATGAATATGTGACGATGATGGTGATGATGGACATGCTGATGATGATTGCAATGATGATGATGAGGAGGAACATGAAGATGAGTAGTACTATGATGAATAGTCTGGCGATGGTGGTGATGATGGCGAAGGTTAATGTGAAGATGCATCTTACGGTGACGGTAGCGGTGTTGGTGAAGATGAAGATGACAATGCAGATGCAGACGACGATGGTGATGGTGATGTTCAGGTTGATGATGCCAATGATGATGATCAAAAATGCTGAGAGTGAGCCCTGTAACTCCGAAGACCCGTCTGAGGCAATTTATCATGGATGGCCCGGGCGAAACGCATTATTTTGAGACGGCAACGCCTTGCAACAACTCATCCCACTCCGACAAGCAGACCAGCACGGCAGACCACCAGAGCACGGCAGACCAGAAAAACAAACCACGAGAGAGCGGCAAGCCGGCACGGCAGACCACAGGAGCACGGCATAACATCAGAGCGACACGCGCATTCCCCAATCATTCCCCAACCGTTCCCCGGTCACACATGCATTCGCAGGCTGGGAGTTCAGCGCGAGCTGTTCGTATATCCTCGATGACAAGAGCACGAGACTGATATTGATGATATGAGCGATCTCTTCCTGCAGCGGCCACGCGGCCGGGTCCGCCGCCGCCCCGGGCGCGCGCGGCCGGCGCCGGGGGAAAGCAAGCAAGTGCCCCCGCGCCTGTAGACAGCACCTCTGGCGTCGGCCTGCCCAGGCAAGCGCGCGCGGCCGTTGCGCGCGCCCGCCCCCTTCACTCATTTTCAATGCGTAGGGGGCGTCCACGCGGCCACGTGGCTTGGGTCCACGTCTGGGCGGCGCGCCGCGGAGTCGCCTGGTGAAATCGGCGACGCGTTGCTCGAGGT